GAAAATACGGTAGTCATTGATTAAATTCTGACACTATCCATTCACAAAATATAAAACATCCTTCGGGGACCCTGAAATGCCGGGGCCCCGGGCTGCAGCCCCGGTAAGCCCCTGCTAAAATCCGGCCCAGCATATGTGGAAGAAGAGTCACTTGGAGGTGATTCTTAGAGAGTACTGGAGATAATATCAAAGTCCATTTAAAGCCTGGCGTGCACTGTGCGATTTTCGGGGCAATTTTCTAGTCGTGCGAGAATCTTTTGATCGGCCCGACTTTCAGCGTGATTGTGAGTCGTGTAGTGTACAGGGTGCTACGGGCGGCGATCAGCCTCTCACGACCACCTGCCGATCAGGAATTGTGAGGTTAGGAAAATATCAAACATGTTTGATTTTCTCCAGACCGTCGTGGGCAAATCGTTCAGGGCCCATTAGCAAACAAGGATTCTTCTTTTTATTCTGTCTGTGCTCATAGGGATAGTTAAAAAAAAACTAAAACCCTCTTCCTGTCCCACAGACCTCTTTCCTCCTCATTTTTTTTCAAAGAGGTTTGGGACACCATTGGCCCTTCTGTCAGGGAGACTGTTAGGTTTATTCAATGATGATCATAAAGTTAATGTGTGTACATATGAAACATTGGATAAATGAGATGCTTCACTCTGTTTACTGCAAACTGTCATGCAAAGGTGGTAGAAAATTACTGATGTTTGTGCAAGGCTAATCACAGTTATCAGAAGACCACTCTGTTCTGTGATTCATTTAGAGGAGCATTTTGTCCTATGACCTGATCAATTGCCTTGTCAGAAGAACACTCTATTTTGTAACCCACCCCATGTGTTATGATCCGCTAATAAAAAGGCTTTGCAGAGGAAGTCAGTCAGAGAGTAGTGAGCTGAATGTAACTCTCTCCTTCTGCAGAAGCTGTTAAAAATCCCTCTTCTGTGTAGACTCAGTTCCTCTCTTACAAACCTACATTTTTTAACCTAACAGAGACCAGCAACAGTAGGTTGGCTTCTGGTACTATGGCTAGCCCTAGCCTACCCTTGACCATACAAATTCGGCAAATTATCACCCAATTTCCAAACTACCCTTGGTATCTAAAATCTTAGAGAAATGCGTTTTTGCACAATTGCCACCTTTTTTAGATTAAAATGGCACTTTGGACCCACTCAGGTTCAGTCGGGTTACAAAGCTTTGCACAGTACTGAATCTGCACTCTTAAAGGTTTTTGACTACATAGTTTTAATGACAGATTCTGGAGGCTCTGCCATTTCAATGCTTTAAGACCTGATGGCTGTTTTTGACACAGTTGACCACACAATTCTTTTAAACCACCTAATAGATTGTGTAGGTGTCAGGGGCATCACATTGCAGTGATTTCAGTATTGCCTGTCAGAGAGGTCCTTCTCAGTCAGGCTGGGAGACTCCACCTCATCTTCTGCCCCACTTCCCTGTCGAGTCCCCCAGGGATCTATCCTGGGACCCATTCTTTTTGCTTTGTACCTCCTCCCACATGGGGAGATTTTTAAGAAGCATGGCATGTCTTACCACTTCTACGCTGATGACTGTCAAATTTACATCCCAAAGTCACTAGCCTAGACATGTCATCAAAAATAGCGATTTTAAATTTGATAAACAGATCAATGGCATTTTAAAATCTGTTTTTGATCATCTTCATCCTTTGTCCAAAGTTAATCTTTTTTATGTTTTAATCTTTTTGAGCAAGTTATGCATGATTTTATTTCAAGTCATCTGGAATACTGCTATGAACTTTATTCGGGTATCTTCCACAAAGCACTTTCCCACTTGCAGTTAGTCCACATCGCTGCGGTACGACTTTTAACAGGCACCAAAAAAGGTGAACACATCATCCCAATCCTTGCGTGTTTTCTGTTGTCCGTCCGAAGCTGTGGAATACTCTGCCCCTCAATATACATATGGCTCCCACGGTGGAGTGTTTAAAGACTCACTTTTGTTCTCCAGCTTTTATCATTGCATAATTTGTGTGGTCCTCTGTGGCTTTGTGTTTATGTTATTATATGTATTGTTTTAAACTGTCTTACTTATTTTTATTGTGTTATACTTACCAAGGGGTGGGGATAATGGTTATAGTTGTGTGTGCAGCTCTTTGGAACATTTTGTAGTTTAAATGTGCTATAGTATATAAATAAAGTGGATTGGATTGGATTAAATGTAATAGCTAACTTACTCATCAAGTGAATCTTCAGTAACATCAGACTTGGTGCAGATAAAGTGGATGTGCCGACATTCCCCTCCGTTTCCAAGGAGTCTACTTGCACTTTTTAGGATCTCCCAGGATTCTCTTTCTGCTGGTACTCGGTTGATTTCAGATACAATCCACACAGTAGAACAGTTTCCAACAATCTGAGGTGATATATGCATAGTACTTAATAACTTTACTACTGCAACAACAACTAGTACTATTAGTGACAGCATATAATAATAATCAAACCTTCAGTCAACACCTCAATAATAAAGTATATATTACCCCTTTCCACATCTCATCTCTGCTTTTGTTTCGGTCCCCATTTCCTGGAAGGTCCACCAGTGTGACATGTTGTAGAAAATTTGTATTTGGCACCCTGACAGTGACACACTTCACCAGTGGCCAATACCACCTTTTTACAACCCCATCTCCTTCATTGTTTTCAGAAAGATGCTGAATATCTTCTATAAGTC